ACCTATCACATAATTAATAATTCCGTATATTTTAAACTAATAACTAATACACAAAAATCAATATCTCATGCATTATACGTGTATACGCCCAAGAATCACAACAAGCTAAGTATCCAACACACAACTACTAATATCTAATGCACTTGAACGAGTATCTAACTCACAATTAACACATTACACAAAAAACGAAAAAATGGCAAAGAAAGATTTGATAAAGAAAAAATCAAATAAATGGAAAAAAAATCTTTTTCTTTCTTGGTCACTAACGATACATGCAGGGATTTGTATAAATGGATAAGTCAATTCATGTGAAAGATTAAATACACCATTAATGACACGATCAGTTACAAAATTGCCAACAAGTAGAATACCAAATTACCCTTTATCACCCTTTAATTGATCGTAGATCTACATATGTTTTGAATGGTTGAGATTTGTTCTCATTTCTCACGATAAGAGTTGTTCTTATTTGAACCAGATATATATATATATATATATATATATATATATATATATATATATATATATATATATATATATATATATATATATATATATAGGGTGCGGTTCCAGTGAGAACGATGCTTAACGTGAGAACGTGAGAACACTCACATTTAAATCAATGTGGTGCACAATGGAGCTATTCTGTTGCACATTTTCAATTTGGTCCAAATAAGAGTATAATAAATAAACACGGTGGCATTTTTGTAAATACTGTTAAAATGTGAAAATGTGCAATATACAAGCTTCATTGTGCAACACGTTGGGGAAAAAGTGGTGTTCTCACGTTCTCACGTTAAGCAATGTTCTCATTTGATCTTTATTCTATATATATATATATATATATATATATATATATACACAAATGATCCTGTCCAGACGTCCGGACAGGAACCGCCGTCCGGCCGGCGGCGTTTGGCCGCCTTCCCGGTGGAATTTTTTCATGAAATTTTTATGGCATGTTCTCTATCAAGTCTAGTTTATCCACAAAAAAATTCAGCCAAAAACTCAATCGGGAAGGTCGTCAAATGATTTTTGCAAGTTAACTGGTCCGGAATATGTATTTTCCGGACCAGTTAACTTGCAAAAATCATTTGACGACCTTCCCGATTGAGTTTTTGGCTGATTTTTTTTGTGGATAAACTAGACTTGATGGAGAACATTCCATAAAAATTTCATCAAAAAATTCCACCGGGAAGGCGGCCAAACGCCGCCGGCCGGACGGCGGTTCCTGTCCGGACGTCTGGACAGGATCAGGACTCTATATATATATATATATATATATATATATATATGAGTACTCTTCTGGTCAGGAATTCCTGACCGGAACCGCCGTTCGGACGGCGGAATTTGGCCGCCTTCCGGGTGGAATTTTTCGATGAAATTTTTATGACATGTTCTCCATCAAGTCTAGTTTATCCAAAAACTATTAAGCCAAAAACTCATTCGGGAGGGTCGTCAAATGATTTTTGCAAGTTAACTGGTCCGGAAAATACATATTCCAGACCAGTTAACTTGAAAAAATCATTTGACGACCTTCCCGATTGAGGTTTTGGCTAAATTTTTGTGTGGATAAACTAGACTTGATGGAGAACATGCCTTAAAAATTTTATCAAAAATGCCACCGGTAAGGCGGCCAAACGCCGCCGTCCGGACGGCAGTTCCTGTCTGGAATTCCGGACATGAACATTTGTGATATATATATATATATATATATATATATATATAATTTTTAATCGTTCTAAAAAATAACAATATGAGTATAATTCTCATTACATATAAAGAATTACTTTTAATACAACTTCAATAATTTTAGAATTTAGGGAAAACTGTCAAATAGGTCCTCGAACTTTCATAAAAAAGTCAATTAAGTCCTTCTATAGGAGACTCTATCAGGTCGTCGCGATTTGGGGCGGTTCCCGGTGGAATTTTTTGATGAAATTTTTTGAGCATCTTATTCATCAAGTCTTGTTTACTCATACCAAATTTCAGCTAAAAATTCAATCAGGAGCGCATTCAAATTAATTCGAGAACGCAACAATGCGCAGTTATCTTCAAGAATTAATTTGAATGTGTTCCCGATTGAATTTTTAGCTGAAATTTGGTATGAGTAAACTAGACTTGGTGAATAAGATGCTCAAAAAATTTCATCAAATAATTCCACCGGGAACTGCCCCAAATCGCGACGGCTGGACAGAACCTCCTATAGAAGGACTTAATTGACCTTTTTATGAAAGTTCGAGGACCTATTTGACTATTATCCCTAGAATTTAATATGCCAAAGTGTCAATACACCAATAAATAAAAAATGGAATAACCAAATTAAATAAATTAATATTAACCAGATCCAATAATTACTCTTTAGCCTAACAAAATTCTAGCTTTTAATATTTAATTAGGATTATTTGCCTCCAATATGTGAACTCCGATTCACTAATTAAGACAATTGATTTTATTTGAGAATTCAATTTAAACTGCAATTAAATTAAATATAAATATATAATACTAATAGTCATTCTTTTAGGCTCCTAAAAATTGGGGGCCCTAGATAATTGTCTTGTCAAAAGGCCCTCAAAGCCGGCCCTGCCTATAGACTTGACTGTGTCAGTTCCAAGATTTTCGTTAAAAGGCTAGATATTTAATATTATTCTCCTACCGGGTCAAAAAATGATCATTTGAAGTGTTTCTTTGTATGTTTTCCCGTTAAAAGGCTCTTCCATGTAAGCTTGGTACGTTAGTGTAACAGAATCTTCTAACGGCTGAAGTGTGAGACATGTTCTATTGATGGCGTTTATGTTAGTAGCCTATTTTGGTTGAAGTTAAATTTATTCCCTACACATTTGCCTGGGCGTCATTGTTGATTTGTTTCTCGAGATACTCTAAATACCGCAATACACAACATCATCAAAATCTAATACAAAATATTCCTTACAATTTCCAATGAAAAATCCTAAAGTACATTTTTCTTACGAGTTGGGGCAGTTGCATTGTTTTGGAGGCAGAATTGTTGAGTATCCAGGAAGCATTGAGCTCGACTTAGAAGCATGGATGAGATTTTGTGGACGTGGAATCTGATGCCTCTCAGGCTATATCGGAGACTCAGAAGGGGACACGTTCGTCTGCTTCAGACGTTTTAGCAGAGGATATTCGTAATAGACGATCAACGAACAAAGCTGCTCATGATTTGCCTCGAGTAGCTAGTTCTTTGTCTGATTGTCGTATTTGGTTGGGGAACTTCTCGATTTATATTCATGATGCTTTGGATTTCGATTTGATTAATGCTAAGTAAGCTTTTATTCTTAAAAAAAAAAACTCCTATGAGTTACTGCATTCATCTTGCTACAGTTGTCTCATTTTTTTCTTCTATGGTTTGTTTTACTTGTAAACTCACATATCAAAATTGCATTAGTAATGCTCGTATGTTTTCTTTAAGTTATTCTTATTTCATTTTTACTTCATCATTTAAATATAAAGAATTTAATCTCAAAATCTATCTACGAGAATTTTCATCACGGTCGGAAACTAAATCAGATCAATAATGCTTTGCGCACACCTTTGGCACACCCCATATAAAGCCCCTCACTTTTTTTACCCCTCCCCCCTCTCCCTCTCACACTTCATTCCAAAACCTCCCCCCCCCCCACTTCACCCCCCCCCCCCCCATTTTTATCACCTTCACATCCATCATAATTATCTCTCCATCATCTTCACTCATTCTCCATCTTCAACATCTCCATTATCTTCCCTTTCCATCTGCCTCACCAAATATTCATCATCTTTCATCTTTGCCATCTTCCATATCCATCACCTCATTATATTTACCATTTTCATCTTTTAGGGTTGGTTATTCCATCATTTGCAATGGAGCCAAATATTCATTATTTTTTGGTTTGAGAATATGATGGAAAAAAGCAAAATGGCTCACCAAACTGTCTGCTCTTCTTTGTTATGAAGCAGCAGTTAGTCCATGCAATTTTGGACGCGATTTTCATTATGAGTCATCCGACCCCCCCCCCCCCCCCCTTACCCTAACGTAGATGGGAGCCTTTGCGGCACTAGGGTAAATGACGATTGATTGATTGATTGATCTTTTAGGGTTGGTTGGTAACAAAAAGTTTCAGTCGCCGTAAAATTAGACAAGAACATTCACCAAATTTTTTGAATATGTATACAAATACTTTTTTTCAATGTCTGGTCACGCAGAAAAAATTGTTAAGCACGGACAATAATATACAAATTGGCTATGTACAAACAAATAGATGTCTATGCACATACATTGGTTTGCGTGTTGTGTTGGCGAAATGCCATAGTTTAGTTGCATGAAAACCGATGTATGTACACAAACATTTAGTTGTATGTATATAGACAATTTTTTCATTTTTGTCTATGCTCAACAATTTATGACACAGATAAAATAGATTAGTACATGGACATTTTTTGGGTAAGTACATGGACAAAATATAAAAATTGTTTGTGTACAAACAATGAAATGTCTATACAAGGACATTGGATTCCATATATAGAATGATTTAAAGCCACATAAATTTTACAAAATTTGTTATGAGACAATTTTAGTAGAATTTTCTGAAAAGGTAAAATAAGACAATTTTGATGGGACACCAAGAGTATATACTAACAATTTTTTTTCATTTTAAAGGGTATAATAGTGTGTACACTCACCTACAAATAGAATTTTTGAAATCAGATACGGAGTAGAAGCGTGTGAACGCTTAATGGATATTGGCGTCACGCCCCACGTCATTAAATTGGCTCCTCAAGGCCTTAAAAGGGAATAAGATGTTGGGGCCCGCGTGCATTGGGCCTGCGTGATATCCGAAACTCAGACAATAACCTTAAAATAACCGAAATTCAGATAGTTAACTGCACTTTTTAAAGGATGCCAGCTCACCCCGTGTGTATGAAGTGTTGACTGATGACCTGGACATTCCAGGCTGGCGTTTCTTCCTTCTCTATTTATATCCCAACTCCCTTTGACTTCCTTTCAGTCCACCAATTTGCAGAGTGCAAACAGAACAAAACCGAAAACAGAATTTGAATTAAAACATATGCCGAAGCTAATAATCAAGCAACATAAGATGGAAGAAATCTCCGGCGACAAAAACCACCGCTCACCGCCGCCGCTTACCGGTGAGCAGGAATCCGCCGTCTTGGTCTCAGCCTTGAGGAATGTCATAAGCGGAACACCAGCGGATTCCACGGCGGACAACCTCGGATTTTTTACATCCTTCAATTTTCTCACCTCATCCGCCGCCGCCGCCTCTTCGACCGGAGGCAAAGCTGACTTCCCGCCGCCTCTCCTAAGGTTACCCGATGGCCCGACGTGTCAATTTTGCGGAATATCAGGGTGCTTGGGCTGCAATTTCTTTGGGACGGCGGAAGTTGAAGACAAGAAGAAGAAGAATGTGATAGGTACGAAGAGGAAGAAAAAGAATTACAGGGGAGTGAGGCAGAGGCCATGGGGGAAATGGGCGGCCGAGATTCGCGACCCGCGAAAAGGGGCCCGAGTTTGGCTCGGAACGTTCCAGACATCTGAAGAGGCAGCTCGGGCTTACGACCGAGCTGCCGTAGAGTTCAGAGGTCCGAGAGCGAAGCTCAATTTCCCCTACACTGACTACACAACATCGTGGTCGCATTCTCATCAAGTACAACCTCTGCAGACAGAACACGACAACGTTAATAAAAGGGGGAGTAATTTGGCGGGAAAATTGGAGGTGGAGACGAGCGGGGAAACGGAACAGTTGGAATTTGCAGAGGAAGAGTGGGAAGAATGCTGGAGAATTATGATGATGGATTTCAATGGCGATTCTTGCGATTTCACCAGCTTATCAGCTTCTTCCTAAATTGGGAAGAAGCTATATTCGTTTTGTCCAGTTTCGTTTTTGTATAAACCTGGGCATGTAAAATAGTAATAATGAAAATCAATAATAAAACAAATTTGGTTTTACTCTGATCTTCACTGAAATTTTGTGAATTTCCAGCCTTCTATAAAATTTCAATGCAATATAATTTTGGCTCGACAAAGAAATTGCAAGTAAAGTAAAGGTTATGTACGTCGATGATAAAGTTTTTTTGTTTTCGCTTTACATATGATGAGGACATTACTCGGTATTTAATTTATGATCTATTGTAATAAAGTGCTTCCGAGAAAATTTAATAATATTTCTTCTAAAATATTAAATTGGATTAGATGATGATAAAGATAGGTGAGTAATTGAGTTCATCATGATTAAATTTGTCGAGTACGATTACTATTTTAAGACCATTTGTAGTGGTCAAGAGTCCAAATTGTTAAATTTGGACTCCGTCCATATGAAAACAGTGTTTAGACTCCGTCAATACTGTTTTCCCTTGCATCCGTGCACCGTCAATAAAATACACTCTGCATATTTTTTACATATCAATTTAGTAAAACATTAATTAAATTATTATAAGTAATATTTTCCTTTTAACTTTTTCCCGGGATAATTATGAAATAAAAAATACACATTTCGAATAAAAATAAATAAATTTCACTAATTTTTTTTATGATTTTTTGTTAACAAAAAATGAACATAGTTCAGATAAAATTGGATTATGGAATATCCAGCTAATATTTGTGAAGGCTCAATGAATTAAAAATTTGTATTTCGTGTTTTTTTGGGTTCAAAAAAACTTCAACAGTTATTTTTTTTTTTTGCATTTTATATATTACATATTGGTGTCATATGAAAGATCATACAAATTCGTGAATTTTGATATAATTTTTGAAAAATTCGGAGAACAAATAAAAAAGTTATAAGAGTTTAAAATAAATTGGGATTTTAATGACATATGCGTGACATCATCGTGATGTCACCAGAACCATGAACAGAGCAGACGGCAGAAGAGTGCCGCGTTTTCTTCTTCTTTTTTTTTCTTTTTCCTTTTCTTTTACCCTGTCAACCTAACCCTCTATTTATACACTCTTCCACTCTCCTTCCCACTTTTACTCCCCCTTTTAATCTACCACTATACCAAATTAAGAGTCTAAAAATTCTATTTTTAATCTTTTGACTCCTAATCTATAACCACTACAAATGGTCTAATGGAGCACATAAAGCTATTTAAAGAAATTGTCGTACATAGAATTGAAATATATTAAATTTGTTCCGAAATAATAACTACGTTACATAGTATGTATGAAGTATTTTCTTGTGGGATTACCTATAAAATAAAAGTTATTTTTTTACAAATGATATTACATACGTCATACGGTATTATTCATCATTTACCCTCTTTTTACATAACTCTACAACTCTATAACTTTGTCATTTATATTTTACTTACTTTTTCACTAAAAGTGGAGAAGTAAATGATAGCTTATGTATGTATTTTATTTTTAGTCTAGGAGCTCAAACAAAGTGTTACCATTAATTTAGAATGGAAGGATTATCAAAATGTCACAATCGCAGTTTTGATGTTCTTTTGAAAGAGCCGTTTTAATCTAATCTTTTATGGGTATGGGTGGCTAAAGATGAAAAGGAGGATTTGTTTGTGGACATATAGGGGCAAAGGAGGCTAGTTGGTCACCGATGGAGACAGAGGCGTAGAGAGTCAGAGAGGCTTTAATCGCAACATGCAGATTGTTTTGGCAGAAAATTGTGATTGAAAAGGATGCTCTTGTTGTGGTTCAAAATGTTTCCAGGCAAGAAGAGTCCTCTTATTCACGACCTATTATTGATGATATTAGATCTATTCTTGAAAATCATAATCATTTTAATGTTGTATATTCTAAACGGTCAACGAATCGTGTTGATCATGTTTTAGCTAAGGTGGGTGATGCTTTCCCTGACGTACTGTTGTTCTATTTTCGAGCAATCGAGCATGCTCCAGATTTGATTGTAAACTTACTTTACAATAATTTGTTAAATTAATAAGCTTTTGGTTTACTATCAACTAATGAACTTTTATTCCCGTTTTTGTACTTATGGGATACTATAAAATGTTTTTATACATTCACCATCAATATGACATTTTCATTACCAGCCAAACACTATTTTAGACGTGTTACCATCACGTAGTATTGGCAGAGGCGGACCCACTAAGGGTCCCACGGGGTCCCGGGACCCTGCGGACATCGGAAAAATTACCTATATATTATATATATTTTATATATAATTAATTTGGAAATGTATATATAAATATAAAAATGACCAGGGAATCAAAGGACCCTAGCAGCAGAATGGAGCAAGCTCGGGATTGAGGCTTCTTGTTTCGCGTGAGGTTCCATGTTTGATTTCCCATGGCTACCTATTCCATTTTTTCAAAACCATTTTAATTAAATAAATCAAAATGATTTTAATTAAATAAGCCAAAACGACGTGGTTTTCACACTTTTTTTAATCCTTAAATATGTGAATTTTATACATGAACATTAGTATTGGTCTATCATTTCATATTGGTACTATATATTTATATTTTTTAGAAAGATTTGCATTTTTAATCTCGTAACTTGCGGCTATGACTGTTGCTATTATATTTTATAGAAAAATTACTACTATGTACCTTGTAATTTTGGTCTTGTAACTAATATAACTATGCAATTTTAGAAGTTGTACACTAGAAAGTACACTTTGTGACCGAAAGTTCAATACCGGCATCATATTTTGCGATAATTTTTGTCCACCATAAGTTATATTTTCTACATGTGTTATATTCAGGCCCTCCCTTGCACCCAAGTCTGGCTCCGGCCGCTCAGCCCTTGTACACAAGGGTAGGGACCCCATGGCTCTTACTTTCTGGATCCGCCATTGAGTATTGGTATTTTTCAGATATTCAATAGACCAACAAAGTATCTATGGAGATGATATTAAGTTTGTTATGAGGTTGACATTTTTTTTACGGTGACAATTAAATTTACTTTTGTAATTTGTCTTGATGATAACATTATAACTTCATTATAGTACTACACTGCTACGTAATATAATGTCATTATGATGAAATTCTTATGATGAAATTCTTTTGTAATATAATGTCATTATGATGAAATTCTTATTCAATATCGTTGTGTGAAAGTATATGTGTTTTATAAAAAATTAATAAGGGAAATTGTTTCATTTCCTCTCACTATTACTCATATTGCATAAGAGGAAAGATCATAATCCTATTTTACACTCATTATATATTATTTTAGGCTATTTCTCAATTATATACTATTGTTATCGACAATGAACTGAGTATAGTTAAAAAATATTTTAGTTTTTTTGGAAGGAAAATATTTTAGTTTTAGAGGCTTTTCTCAACTATATATGAAAGTTGTCAACAATATAATTGGCGGAGTAGTTTGAGAGAAGGGAATGTTCCAGTGACGAATCCAGAAAAAGAAAGTATTGGAGGCATATCAGTAAAGCATATGAAATAAAAATGTTACTACGTAATAATTAAACTATATATGAATCCTATTTTCAACATTAAAATTGATTGAATGTATGGAAGTTGATAAAATTTTGACTGAAGTAGCTGAATTGTTTGAATTAGATGAATAACAAAAAAACTTACATAAACTATATATGTTCAAAAAAATTATACGGAGTATGAAAATCGCTAAATAATCCTCTTTAGCAAACACGACTGATGCAGGATATTTTTACTTAGACAGCTTTCAGTCCCAGACCAGGGTAGACCAAACTTAAATGGACCAGAACAGATCATACTTAAACAGACCTGACCAGTGTTATAAAATACACAGAGACTAGACATTTACAGTTCAGACTAGACCATTTAAACAGACCAGACCAACAAATTACAGTTCAAGTAAAAACATTCTCATTCGTCAAACCCTACATTTACTTATTTAGATTATTTCACAATTCAACACTTGATTTTTATTTTATTAGCAGTTTGGAAAGCATTTATAAGCATTTATTTATGTCCTAACTGTATGGGGTATCTAATTAATTAATCAATTGAACTTGTATGTAACACAACCAAGGGTAATTATTTCAATACACAAAGAGTTGTAAATTTATACAGAGTATTTTTTTAAGAATTTTGAACTACCTAATATCTAACCCGAAAAAACACCCGTCCTATCCATGAACAAGAGACCTCATATAACATTAACATCTAAAATCAACGTTAATTCAATCCCAAAATAAATCATTTTTTACTGGCCTAAAATTGCAAAGTGAACCTAAAAACTAGCAATTATACGGCTCTGTTTGCAATCTCTGTTGATAAGTGCTTCTGGGTTTTTTAAGAAAAAAACACTTATTTTACCAAACACTACCAACTTTTACTATCTCGGTTTTCGTGTAGAATCTATTTTTTACTTTTTCTATTACACAAAAAGCACTTGTTTTACCAAACACTACCAACTTTTACTACTAATCACTTTTTCCCAAAAAGTGCTTTTATTTAAGCACAAGTGGTTGCAAACAAAGCCTACGTCCTTTTGTTACATTGTGAATTTCAGAAAAAATAGACTAACTTATTTAGTAGATGTCAAAATATACGTTCTAAAAAATTACTTCCACGAATAATGTACTGGATGCTGCTGAGAATTGAATGACAAATCTAAATTTTGATTTTAGAGAATAAAAGAGAATAAAATATACGGAAATTGGCCTAAATAAGAGTAAAAACGTTTTGAAATTCCAAAATAAGAGTATCATGTTTTTTATTCCCTACATAGGAGTAATCTGTCAAGTTTGAAAAAAGGTCATGTTAAAAGCCTTGTGATGCCAAACTTGGCAGAAATTTAATCCTATTCAGAGATTAAAAAAACATGATACTCCTATTTTGAAATTTCAAAACGTTTTTACTCTTATTTAGGGAATTCTCTCTAAAATATATTTGATTGATGAGTCATACTCAACTTTTATTCTTTCTCCGATGTTTTGAGGTTTCAATTCTCTCAAATGTACTTCTTTCCTTGATTGCCTCTTGTAGTCTTCCTGTTTTTACTTTCCAGGTTATGGGGGGCAAAGTAATCTTTCCATTGGGGGCAATTCATAGATTAATTATTACTACGTATATTGTAGTGGACTCCTTAGCATAGTAGAAGTGTATTGGGGGCAGCTGCCCCCCCTCCCATGACTGTAGATCCGCCACTATCAATGTTCTCAAATCAAGACCTCAAACATAGATGAATCATCAATATGGAATAAGAAATATGAAGTTAGTCAG